ACGCTCTAGCCCTGGGAACAGAGGGGAGGGTGGGTGTAGGGGCTCGGATCTAGAATGAGAATTATGTGGCTCCCCCATTCCAGGTGTTTCCCCCATCCAACCGCCCAGACAGGTTCTTCCAGTCCCTCCCCAGCCTCAGGCCCAAGGCAAGGAGCATAGCAGAACCCCAACTGTGAGAGAGGCTCCCGTGGGAAGAGAAACCGACACTAATTGACAGCCCCTCCCAATCCCACACCCTGGCCCCTCCCAGGTGTCCTCTGAACCCTCCCACCCACACCTTCCGGGGATTAGGGACCCTCTCCCCATTTTTCCCCCAGCCCAAATTCAGAGTGGAATAATTTTCCCAATCCAACCCATACTTTTCCTGGGAATAGACTTGTAGAAAGACCCTGTCTTCCCCCAATCCACATGCAGAGTGGAACAACCTCCTCCAACACACACACACACACATACACACACACACACAGAGTGGGCCACGGGCAAAGTGCCTGGGGCTGTGACCACAGCTGCAGCCACTCACCGCTGGATCTCTAAGGCCCTTTCCAGCTAGGTGGACCCCACACCCCACACCCCATAGTGCCCCATGTCACAGGCTCACACAGAATCCCAGAATCTCAGCATTAGAAGGGACCCCACCCCCACCCCCCTGGATCATCCAGCCCGACCCTGTACCTGAGCAGCAATCCTCAACAAGTGGTCCTACAGGCTCGTCGGGAAGACCTCTAGCCACGAAGGCCCTTCTCTCTCTTTAAGCAACCCCCTCCAGGCCGTCCCTGGCTCACAACTCTCCGCCCAGGCCCTAGTTCTGGGAATCCTCTTGTTACTCGAAATGGAGCCAAGCTCTTTCTGCAGACCCAATTCCTCCGTTCCTTGGCCAGGCACACCCAGCCTTGGCCACTCCAGGACTCCAGCTGTTCTAGGACATCACTCTTAAGCCACCACAGTTCTGCTTCCTCCCCACAGTCCAGAGTGCAGGACATACGCACATCCCAACAGAATAGAGTCTCCTGAATAACAGGATGTGAGGGAAGGTGTGTGTAGTGGGAGGGGGGTGGCAGGCAGGATCTGCTCTATGATTCACCACCCTTGCCCAAGTTAATCCAATAATTCAGCACAAGCGCCACATAATGATAACTGACATTTATAGGATGTTTGCAAAGTGCTTTAGGTATATTATATTCTTTAAATCCCACAACAACCTTGCCAGGTAGAGACTATCATTATTTTCCTCCCTTTTTTGCAAATGAGGAAACTGAGGCAAAGAAAGGTGAAGTGATTTGCCTGTGGTTAAACTATCAGAGGGTGGATCTGAACTCAGATCTTCCTCACTCCCAAGTCTAACATTCTAACCACTGGGCCGTAATACTGTCCCACCTCCCCATTACTTGGAGGGAAGTAACAATAACAATAATAATTATTAATAACTGCAACTACTCCTATTTCTATAGCACATGAAGGTTCATAAAATGCTTTTCTCACAGCTGTTCTATACAAACCCCCATTCTGACCCCTGTTTCATGTGTTATCTTCTATTAAAACATAAGCTTCTTAAGGGTAAGGACTGTCTTTTTTTTTTATCTTTGTTCTCAAAGAACTTAGTATAGTGACTGGCACATAGTAAACACTTAATAAATGATTATTGCCTGCCTACAAGTTTTATTATTCCCATTTTACAGGTAAGGAAACTGAGACTCAGAGAAGGTAAGTAATTTGTCCAAAGTCACACATCTAATATATGTCAGAGCTTTTATTCCTACTCCTTTCTTCTCATCCTAGGTGAGTTACAAGGTACAGATTAGTAGATTAAGGACATCCCAGTTCCAGGGCCTAGATGCCCATCCTCGCCTGCTACCTATTCTAATCTCAGATAGAAGATACCAGTTTACAGATGCTCTAACCAGGACCATTCCGGTGCTTCCTGAACATCTATGTACTAATGAGGCCCTCTTCCTGACACTCTTGCCTGCTTTTAGATAATCAAATCACCTTCACTGTCCAGTCCAGGCCTATTGATTTATTCCCAGGTCCTGGTAGAGAGAAAAACAGGGTTTCAAACAAGGATGAAAGCTCAGAAGCAAAGCTGTCTTGGCATCCTCACTCTCCTCCAGCCCACATACCTCATCCACTCCTGTCTCCTTGGTTTTCCTTATACCAACAGCAGCCATTTTTTTCCAAACCAAAACTTGGGATGCAAAAGTCTGACAAAAGACATTTTGCAGAACCCTCTCTGATCTCATCAGTTCCCATGGGTTCAATGATTACATCTAGGCAGATGATTCCCAGATCTCTATTTCTAGCCCTAGTCTCCTGATCTCCTGTACCATATCACTAACTGCCTATTAGACATTTCCAATTAGATGTCCCGTAAATATCTTGAACTCAACACTTTTTTTAATTCAGAATTCAATATTTTGACCTTACCATGTCCAAAACAGAACTAAATTATCTTTCCCCAAAAAAACCTCACCGCTCTTCCTAACTTTCCTATTTCTATCAAAGTCACCATCATCTTAGTTACCCAGGTTCTCAGCCTCTGAGTCATCAACAGTATTCACTGTCTGATTCAGTACCTCTGTATCAATCAGTCACCAGGTCTTAGGGATTCTACCTCCACCCTTCTCAAATCTGTCCCTTCTCTCCACTCACACCACAACCACCCTAAGGCAGATTCTTATCACCTTTCACCTGGGCTAATTCAATAGCCTCTTAGTCGATTTCCTTGCCTGAAATTTTTTCTCTCTCCAATTCATCCTCCACTCAACTGCCAGAGTAATATTCCTAAAAGATCAGTCACTCCCTCACTTAAAAATCTCCAGTGGCTCTCTATTCCCCCTAGGATAAAATACAAGCTACTTTTAATGCCCTTGACAATTGGCTCCAGCCTGCTTTTCCACATTATTACATATTATTCCACTTCCAAATTCTTTGATCTGGCCAAATTGGCCTTCCTGCTCTTCCTCATACAAGACGTTCTATATGCCATCTCCCACCCCTGTTCTTTGCATTGGCTATCCCCTATGCCTAGGATCCCCTCTCTCCTCACCTCCACCTCTTAGAATCCTTAGCTCCCTTCAAAATTCATCTCCTACAAGCCCTTTCCCGATCCCCCTTAGTTGCTAATGACCCTCTCCCAAATGATTTTTTATTTAGTTTGTACCTATCTTATGGTCTCCCTGGAAAGAATGTCAGCTCCTTGAAGACAGAATCTATCTCATTTCTGTCCTTATATCCCCAACATCTGGCATGGTGGCTAGCACATAATAAGCAGCCCCTCATAAATGCTTGTTGACTGATTGATTGATTAAAGCAAATACACTTTCTTTTCTTGAAATTGAACCTGGCCCAGAAAAGCCAGGATATGTATCGTCAAGGTAGCCCTCCAACTCCTCTCCTAGCCTGGTGTCCCCTAACCGTTATACCTTTTCTTAACCTAGCTGAATACCACCCCAGCCCACAGTGACCCTGCTTCCCCAGTCCTGAACCCTGCAGGATTTGTTTTCCAAGACGCTGCTCCCACATTTCACCACATACCACCTCTTGCTATCAGTAGTTTTTAACCTGTACTATCTTGTCTCCCCAGCTAGGTTAGAAACTCCTTGAAAGCAGAAATTGTGAATTTGTATTCCTCTTTCTTAGCCCAGTGCCCCAAGAAAGAAGAAGTGTTTGCTAAATGGATAATTATGCCTTTGTCCCGCATTTCCCTCTCCCCTCAAGTCCTGCCCACCAGTGTTCTAGGTCCTGGACCATCTTTCTGGGACCCCATAAGAGCTTATAAGCATCAATGTTTAAGTGACTTTTATGGAAGAAAGTGTGAGTGGGGAGGGAAGGAAAAGGGCAGGCAGGAGCTTTTCTGCCTCCATTCGGATTTTTCTTAGATCATAAGATTTGGAGCTGGAGTTCTTGGAGCTAACTTAGTCCAACTCACCCATCTTACAGGTAAGGTAACTGAGGCCCAGAGAAGGGAAACTAAATTGCCCAGGGTCACACAGATGAAAAATTGCAGAACAAAGATTTAAAGTCAGCTTCTCTGACCTGCTCTTTCCATTGTACCACAAAACCTCCATCAAGAATCAGCTCATAGGCTCCTTCTTCCATCAAGCCTTTCCTGCTCCTTCCAGGCAGAAACAACTGTCCTTCCTTTGACACGTGCTCTTATCATGTTACAGTATGTAAAAAATTCATTTGGACAAGTGTCATCCCTCCTAACAGATTGGAATCTACAGGTCAGGAACCCTGGCTTACTCATCTTTGTATTATACGCACACACCCCTGCCCCAAACACAGTGTCCTGCACACAGGAATAAATAAATAGAACAGAATAAAAATAAATATTTGTTGGATGAAATTGAACTGAATTGGGTTGGTCACTGCCCCTTCTTCCCCCACTATCTTCCTTAGCTCCTTCCCACAAACCCTTAGGGCCTGAGTTCATAGTTAAGAAAGAGGATATGCCAAGAGATGAAGGTAAGTTTAGGGGTACAGAGGGTGCTGGGGGGAATAGGATTAGTGTGTGTGGTAGAAAAGAATTCCAAAGAACACCTGCATTGTTGGCCTGAGAAAATAAGAGATCGGGGGCAGCTAGGTGGTGCAGTGTGGATAGAGCACTGCCCTGGAGTCAGGAGGATCTGAGTTCAAATGTGACCTCAGATACTTGACACTTACTAGTTGTGTGACCCTGGGCAAGTCACTTAACCCCATTTTCTAGCCAAAAAAAAAAAAAAGGTTAAAAAGAGAAAAGAAAACAAGAAATCAAACTAGGCTGTGCCCCCTGGAACATAGCCCTGAGGCCTGTGAAAGCTGTACCTTCCTCAGGAGCGTTGGGGCCAAGCCTGTTCCCCAAAGGATCTAAGGGTAAAACAGGTAATCTCCACAATAAAAGACTCAAATCCCACAGAAACATTATCCCGGGCTTCAGAGAACATCCTGCCTTCATCTCAGGTCTAAGTCCCCCAAAGGAAAAGGAGACAGAGAAAGGAAAGGGGTGGGGGACACACTAGTTTATCAAAGGGCATCCCTGTTCCCCCTACTCCACCTAGCTTCCAACCACCCTTTCCTTCCTTCCTTCCTTCCTTCCTCATGGTATTTCTTTAACCAGAAAGGTCTTGCTCTGTCCTTTCCAGGGCTGTCCAGCAACAGATATAAGGAAGGCAAAAGTTGGCGGGTGGAGTTGGTGCTGAAAGATCTGACTCCTCAAACCCCACTTGGTCTCTGGACCATGCTGGGAAGCCATTTTCCTAGGGTTGCCCCTCTCTGTTCCTTGGTTCTCGTGTACTGCTCACAACATCCACCCCAATCTACTCCACCCCCCCTACCCCACCCCCACTCCCCATGTAAGATGGGCAACCCAGTAGATAGCATCTGAAAAAATGCCTAGAGATCCTCAGAGAGTGGAGACATACAAGGCATTATTACCTTCTCTTCTCCCCCGGGGGTGGCAGACTAGCTAGGTCACTCGGCCCATCCCTAACCACCTTCATTCACCCAGCCCACACCTTCCCTCTCCCATTCCACTGCCTCCCCCATTTAACTCTGTTGACCCCACCCTCCTGCTGGTTCCACCCCCTTTTGGAGAGTCCTAAGGCAGAGCAGACCAGGAAAAGAGGATTTCCAGGCTATTCACACAACCTCCTTCCTACAAGAGGATGTACAGAGGGTGTGCCCAGCATGGACTTTGCTGTTTGGTGGGTTCTCCAGTGTGTACTCATGTAGAGGGGGAAACGGAGAAGGTTTGAGTGTTAGTGGGGCAGAACAATGTGGAGTTTAGGAATAGAATCCTTTTCCCAATTCAGAAATCCCTCCACATGGGCTGAGAAACCTGATTAAGGGATCTCTCATCCAGGGTTTCTCAGTCCCTTAAAACAGTAATTGCCTTCTCCTAGGCTAGTTCACTTGTGTGCAATGAGCTGCCCCCATATCTTCCCCTGCCCCTCCTACCATGTTCACAGCCCCACCCCAAGGCTTGCTTACTTCTCCAAAAAGACCAAATTATGACACACACACACCCCACTACACACACATACACATCTCCCTGGAACTCCTCCTAATCCTCTAGTCTCTTTCCCTCCCTTCCCTTCTTACCAACTCCCCCCAAAATGTGCCAGCTGCACTCTTGACCCTTAGGCCCCTTCCCGCCCCACCCAGAAACATCACAGTTTTCAATAATACCCCTAACTTGTCCTCCAAACCATCTCTCATCCCTACTCTGTCCTTCCCCTCCTACCTTTGCCAGCTTACCTTCATTCACTCACCTCTCTAAAACACCTGTGGCAGATTTAGAGGTGCCTCGACCTGCCCTCCTATAGCCACTCCACCCTTACCCAATTTTCACTCAAAGTCTTGAACTCAAATTCTTCTCAATTACTCCAAGAACTGAGACATGTCCTCTGGCCCTGCCCTTCTCAGACCCTCACCTCCTCCCATTGTCAACCTCCACCTACTCCTTCTACCTCCCTACCCCTTCGACCCTAGTATTCTTGTCATATAATCCCTCATATAGACACTATATAGGCAAGAGAGGTCATTCATTCATTCTTTCTGAGCCCAACCCCAGGATCCCTCCTCTCCTGAAGATGGTAGAATCTGCTCTGGGCCAGGAGCTGTTCTGCACTATTTTCAAGGCTATTGTAAACTCCTCTCCAGACCTAGCTTTGCTATACCTTGCCCACCACACACCCTCTCCTTTTACCTACTCTGGCTCATTTCCCAGAATTCCCCTTGAGCCCACAAGCACTAGGATACCCGTTCTCACCTGATGCCCCTCAACTACATCAACTCTCAACCAAAATCCTTAAGCCATTCTTTTTACTAATACATCTTCACCATTCTCCCCTTCTCCTTCTTATTTCTATCCCACCCCCACCCCCCACATCTGCCCTGTGCTCTTGGATGAGAGTTGAGGTTGAAGGAGATGGAGATGAGGAGAGAGTTGAGAGCATGAAAGCCCTTGAAGGTGTATCTACCATCACCCAACTCCATTCCAGCTTACTGATATTGGAGGGAGCTGGGCCAGACCAGGTAAACACATATGCACACCTCCTTTCTCTGGTCTCTCTAGCTACCTAGATACCCTTTTCATCTGTGATGGCATGGAGGAATTGGGATAAGGGATTGATTTGCTCTTCCCCCATCTCAGCCCCTTAGAACCTCTAAGGTACTCATATTATATCCAAGGTACCCCTGGTTCCTAGAATTGGTTGGGAAAGCACTGTCTGGTGCTGAGCTGTACAGGTGTGTCCGTACCATGCAGAGTGGTTCAAGCTGAAACTTGTTTCCTTTCCCGGGTGAAGAAGTCCTAACTGCTCTTTCCCCCCCTTTCCCCCAGCTAGCCTGATCCCTTGCACCTCCCCTGTCACCACTCCCTTCATGTATGCCTGCAGTAGGCCCTGCTTTTCCCCTCTTTGGATTCTGTTCATCTTCCTCAAGAAAGGGAATTAGGCCCATGCCCAGGGAGTTGGGAGGATTGTGAGGGGTAAGACTTGCTTTGATTTGATTTGATTTTGCTTTTTCTTCCCCCCAGGAGCAGGCACTGAGGCCCCCTGGTCACTGCCCTGGGACACTGAGAATGGATTTGGTCTGCCTAGGCACGGGTCCTCCCACCTGTCTGCTCCTCCAACAACCTCAACACTGCCCCACTTGGCTCTGCCTCCCTTTTCACCCAAGCTTGGCCCTCCCAAAATAATTCATTAACTACCGCATTCCCTGTTCCCTCCAGGCTAGCTCCTGGACAGGATTCCTCTACCCTTCCCTCCAACCTCAACCACCTACCCTTCCCTGCTGCTCCCTCCCTTCCTTCCCTCAGACTGGGGTACTTCTACGCTTCTCCCACCAGCCCCAAGGCTCTCCCAGTCTCACCTGCCTCCTAGAGTTCTCTTCCTCCAGCGGGTCTCTCTGGCCTGATTTCAGGTACTGCCGAGTAGTTCCTAGACCTGCCCAGACTCCTCCCTGACTTCTTCTCAAAGTCTCCCCTAACTCCCTTCCTGATTTGCCTGGCTGAGCTGGCTGAGTGGGGATATAAAGAGACTTAGCTCAATCTTTACCGGCCGTGGGGTTGGGCCCTTGTTAAAGAAATACCCACCTTCCCCCCCCCTCCAAAAGGGTGTGCCGGGGAGGCTGGCTCTCCCCCAACTTACCCTCCCTCTTATTCTCCACCTTCTTCATCCCTCCCTGGAGTTACAGAGAAAGGGGCTGTCATCAGCCAACTGGATCACCTGGATCATTCAGGGGACTAGTTTCAGGGGCCATAATCACCCTTGCAGACAGACCAGTTAACATACCAGCCCTGCCCAGCCTTGGGCAGGACAGGGACCCAAACTAGCCCTTACATTCCATTACAATTCCTTTCAGCCTCGGGCTTCCTGGTTATTTAGCCAGAGAACAACAGAACCCCTGGAGCTTTGCATTCTGCACCCAACTGGGGATCAGCCCAGTTCCCACTCCTCAAAAATCTGGGCCTTCCTTCCACAAAGGGTCCCATGCATTTCCACCCTTTTCCTAGACCATTCCTTCCTTTCTTTCATTGCCTTTCCTGGGCACCAAGCAAGTGGAATGGGGTACCTGGCTGTTTCACTCCCCCTACCACACCCAGTCTCCCCAGGAACCAAGAGATGTAGCTGTGATATTTGGGAAAAAACAGTGTTTCTGGAGTTGGGAGACCTAGATTCAAATCCCAGCTCTTCCACTAATAAGCTGTGTGACCTTAGGTAAATCAGTTAACATCTCTATGCCTATTTTCTCATCTGCAAAAATGGGACTAATAACACCTCTACTATCTACCTTATAGGATTGTTATAAGTAACACATGAGATAATGCAAAGTGCTTTGTAAACTGTAAAGCTATATTTATATATACACATATATGGGTATATATATACATATGCGTATATGGAGGTATGTGTATATATACATATATGTTTTTATAAGCTATTATTATTCCAGGAAAACTGACTACCAGATTATGCATCAATAAAATGAGGCCCAGAGGGAAACCCCCTCACCAAATAATCACTTAAAGGGCTCAAAGCCAAACTAGGAAAGCAGGTGTGCTACTGTCCAGTCCAGGAACCATCCTTGTTTAGCCTCGAAGGAATAAACTGATACTCATTCATTTCTACTACTCACTACTACCAAGTGGCCATCACTAACACCCATACCCCCATGAGGCTCTAGGTCCTCTCTCCCTCCAAAATCCAAAAGAAAGTCTTGAATCACATCAACATCTTTCTTTTTCTTTTTTTTTTATTAAATCAAATGATACAAAACGACCATCATTCCACAAATGCCCAAAGCACCAAGCCCCCTCACCCTCAAAATCACACCCTCCCTAGTCCCAGCCCAACCACTGTTCCTTCTGCCCATCCATTCCTTTTCTAAAGGGACAAAACCCTAGAAAGGTTAAGGTCCTAGGATGTGTGGGTGGAGGAGGATAGCGAGGGGAAGGAGGAAAGGAGGAAAAAGAAAGGGACCTGTCTGACTGGATGGTTACACTTCAGAATGGGAGTGAGGGCCAGAAACTCATTTAGCACCAAATATCCAATCTCCTAACCCCTATGCCTGTCCCTCCCTTAATCAAATCAGTCCCCAGACCCCTTCTGAATGCCCTCTCCACTCCAGTTCATGCGACCATTGTCCCTAAAAATCTGACCCTCCACCTTGGTTCCCTTCCTGTATCTCCTACTGTGTGGGGATCCCAATTCCACCTTCCAAAGCCCTATGGAGCATTCAGTGGGATGAATGCTCCACTAGGAGAGGAAGGTATACACAAAGTCTTGGGGGGGAAAGGCGAGGAATAGGGTGGGGAGCTAGGGAAGAAGCTAGAAATTTTTATTTTTGTGTTTACACAGTCTCTGGGGGGCCCCTTCCCACCCCTTCCCAAGATTCCTTGGGTTGTGGTGGTAGAGGCTCAGTTTCTCCGGGTCATGTTTTCTAGCTTCACACTCTTGGCTGCTTCTCCGATCAGTTCCCAGAAGCTCCCAAACTCTAACTTGGAGTCATTGCAGCTGCCCAAGTTGGCGATTTTCTCATCCAGCTCACAGCTGCCCTGAGGAAACACAGGGAGTGGAGCAGAGGGGAGACACCCACAGCTCAGAAAGACAGTCTTCATCCTAGCCTTCCCACCCCATCCCACTCCACCCCTCCAAAGAAAGACATAAGCCCAAGGGGGGCCCTTTCCCCCAACCTAGAGAGTAGGTTAATCAATTGGCAAGTATTTATAAAGCCCAAGGTCCTGCTACCCAGATTTGGCTGGGGAAAAAAGAAAGAAAAATAGGGAAGTCAAGGGACAGACATTCACAGGGACACAGGGCTCAGATGCCTGGGTCTTCCATACCGGCATAAGATGGGGCAACTGCTGGGTGACCAGATCCCGAAGCTCAGAAGATGTCAGAGTCTCCTTCTTCCCCTCTACTGAATACTGATGAAAGTTTTTGATGAGGGTTTCGATGGCCCGTTCCACATCGCTGAACTCCTGGGCATCCTTAGGACAGGGACAGAAGAGAGCTAAAATCAAAGATGTGCTTCCTACCCTCAGGACGCAGGGTCACCACAGAACACTCTATTTAAGGCGGGTGTTCTGGCTGTGACTCTGCCTGGAAATCTCCCTCACCCACCCACCAGTGACATTAATACTATTTATAGGTTCATCCATTGGTCCAAACACCTTCTTGCTCTGGAATTTGCTCTGTGCTCTTCAACTCTATCAATCCTCTCCATACTCCTCCCTCTTCTCGATTCCTGTCCCCAAACCACAGAAACCTCCCAAAGGCCTTCCCCCTCTATTGAGTGCCAACCTAGGAAATGCCAATGAGGCAAGAGGGGGGCACGATCCACTCAGCCCCCAGCTCTCGGCTCCTTTTCACTGTCCAGAATCATTCTCCATTTTTCTGCTGGTCCAGGTTTTTCCCTCTGCCCCCAACCAGACCCACGTGGGAAGCCTTGAGTAATAGGTTGAGCAAACCTTCCCCCCACACACACACTCTTCCAGCCAGGGCAGGTCCCAGCACGTGGGTCCTGCCTGGCTGGCTCTCCCAGGGAAGGCTCTCCAGTGACAGGCTATGTGGGAAAAAGAGCAGGTTCTTCCCTGTCTTTGGGAACTATAAGCCAAGCTATAGGCTATAGCAGAATAAATGATGGTAAGGGGCAGAAGTCAGAGGGAATCTTGGTGAGGAATGGGATGGGGATCAAGTGGGAGCCTGGGAGTCAAAGGAGGGAAGCCTGGGAATCAGAGGAAGGGAGGCTTGTCAGTGGAAGGTAGGTGGGTCCCAGAGTTGGACAGGGGGTGGGGGAGGTAAGGGGAGTCCGAAAGAGAAACTTCAGAAAAAAACAGGAAGAAAGAGAAAAAGGAAAAGAGGGGTAAGAGGCTAGTGAGAGATTCTTGGGCGGAAGGTAGGGGAATGAATGAACCAACCTCAGCATTTGCAGAATGACATTGTCCCATGGTGACCTGGGTGAGTAGGGGGCACTGGGGTCACTTCTTTAGGATCTGGGGGTGTTCTCCTATGGCGTGTCCCTGAGGGACCAGTGGCTCATCTTCTGCCTGGCAAATGTGAGAGATCTGATCTGAGGGGGAAGCTGAGGATTCCATCTCCCCCTCGCCCCACCCACCCACATGACTTTGCCCCTCCCTCCAGGAAGCTGGAAACGGGAGGTGGGGAGAGGGTCAGGGCCAGCTCTCCATCTCTCCACACCCAGAAACACAGACACACATTCACCCTTAGGAAAGGAGGGAGTTTCTGTATCAGGATACCCTTGCCTCAAAGCCCTCCTCAGTCTTGATGCCCCTAGACCCTGAAATGGTGCCAACTCTACTTCCTCAGCCTGGTCACAAACATTATCCTAATTACCCTGTCCTCCAAGCCCCAGCCCTACAATGTTTGGGTTTCCTAGTCCCACAGGCTCCCTTTCCCCTGGACTTTAAAGGAGATGGGGTGGGGTGGTATTAGTATCCCTAAAGGAGGTCTTCCCTTCAAGGTTGAAGGTAAGGCATCCCCAAGAGCAGCAGGAAAGGGGAGAGAGTTATGGAGACCCCATTATGTTAAGGCATGGGCTCACTTACCTGCTAGGGCTTCTGGGACCGAGACAGGAGGAGCCGGCTCACCTGGCCCAGCCCTTATACCTGGGGGAGTGGAAAGGAGGAGCAGGAGAAGCATAGTAGGGAGGAGAGATGGAAGAGGGGGATGGGTTTTCAGCCGGGTTATGCCAGCAGCAGCTGCTGTACACGCCAGGCTCAGAGCCAGAGAGTTCACCCCACTGCCAGGAGGGAGGGACCCAGGACTCCAAAACCAGGCTAGGCAGCTGCCCCTCTGACCCAGACAGGACAAGGGAGAAAGGGAACCTGGAAAACCTGTCATAGGGCAATGGGACAATGGGGATGGGGATGGGCGTTGGGAAAAAAAAAATAGGATCTGAAGACCAGCTGAGAAAGATTAGGGGAAAATTCAGGACCCAGGAAACAGGGAAACCGTTGTGGGTAAAGGAGGTTGGAAAGGGGGAGGAATCCCAGGAAATGGAGAAGCTGAGAAGGGAGATGGTTCAGTGGCAGGTGGCATCAAGATGAGGGAGGGGCTTATGAGTTTGCCCCTACCTCCAGAAGCCAGGGTACAGGAAATGGGGGAGGGTCAGAGAGAAGAAGGAGAGAGGCATGGTACAAAGGATTAATGTAGGAAGCTGGGACTCTCTCCCCAGCCTTCCTCACTTGGGGTCACTCTGCAGCTGATTCCTGACCTGCTGGACTGGGGAGGGAAGAGGAGTCACCCAAAGCTTTGCTGTACTTTGGATAGCCCGCCCCCACACTGTGTAAATTTGTAGAGTCATCTTTTTTTCTTTTCTTTCTTTTTTTTTTTTTTTTAGTCTTCTCCTGTGATTTCATTGGTGTAGGGCACTCCCAGCGAGGGGACTCCCTACATCTGCTAAATGAAACTGCTCTGTCAAGAGCATTGAAAGGTTAAGTGATTTGCCCAGTGTGAGGAGGAAATGACTTGAACCCAGAATTTCCTAAATCTGAGCCTGGCTCTCAGTTCATTTTAATGCCTGTTA